TTTTGGTTTAAAATTTTTTGCTTTACTAGTTTTATTTTTCCCCCTCTTGTTTTCTAAAAAAAAAATTAAATACCCCCAAAATATCCCCCCCCCCCCCCCACAACACTGCTTATTCGAAATGTCAACATTTTTTTGACATTTTATAAATATATCATGAAATTTATGCATAAAACGGATGAATAAGTTATTCTCATTGTAAACATCGCTAAGAGATTCTCTTTGTTCATTTTCAGAGTTGAACAGGTAAAAGATAACACAATGCCTATAATCATTTCTCCTCTTATTCTGCGAAAATATTATAAATTTTTTATCACAACACAGAAGAATAATAAGTTTGATATTGATGATGTTTTTACTTTCGATAGGTTCGACCTTCCAGTTATTCATACCTAAATTGTGATCAATTTTACTTATTTATAAACTTAGAATAATATATTCTGGTTCAAGATTAAAGCTTAAACCAGAATATTGTAAAATATAACGAAAAATACCGGTTGTTATACATGGTTAAGAGTGAATTAGGAAACGTATTTGAATTCTTAAGTTAATTTTAACAGAAATATTTCTGTTTGTATTGGCCACTCATTGAGTTTGCATTGGTGGTCTCCCGCAGGTACATTTTTCTGGAAAAAATCCTCCCAAACAAACATTTTCGTATTTATAGTTGCACATTTTGACTGGATTAGGCGAAGGGCGACAAGTCAACAACCGACGACGAGCTATTTCAAGCTCTTTTTCATTATTCTGTACAGCAAATGAAAAACGTTTATAGAAGAAAAAAAAATTTAAACTTATCCTACCTTGTAACGATTGTACAATTGCATTGATGCTTTTGCATCTTGAGTCGCATTATGACCGTTGCCTGAATTCAACTGAATACCCAGCAATGTTAATGCTTCATGAGCCAATGAGAAGTAACTTTGAAAAAGATATAAATTGACGGTATGAACAAGTACCAAGGAATTGACTAGTTACCTCGTACTACTATATCTGACATTATATGATTTGAACATGTCAGCCAGATCGATTATTCTTGAATAATGTACACCTTGTTTTAGTTGCAACCATTTCACATCAGTCTTTGGATTTTGACCAACCAAAACAACATTTGGTGAAAGAAATCTACGCACCTGATTATCATATTCGGAAGAAAAAAAATAAAGTTGGTTTAGAGTTGCTGAAAAGTGATTTTTGGTATTCATCATACTCGATAACCCAGAAGATTTTCTATTTTTGGCTCGGGGTACTTCCCAAAGTTTAAGAAAAATTTTGAAATAAAATGGCGAAAAAAGTTTTCCATGGAAAAATAATATTAATTTGAAAACTTTTCCTAAACTTTCGGAAGTACTTTGGGCCAAAAACACAAAAATCTTCTGGGTTATCGAGTGTGCTGAATACGAAAAATCACTTTTCAGCAACTCTAAACCAAGTTTATTTTTTTTTCCGGTGATATAATTACTATTTTAAGATAAATAGAGTGTATTTATATTTGCCAACTTACATTTTCGAGAACAATTTCCATTGATTCACCATTATCTAAATCACCTTTTTTCAATCCAGTTAGTATCGTCAAATAACTGACGACAGGTATCGATGGTTTGATAATTCCTTCATATATCACATCACCTTTGATATTGACAACACTTACAGTTACTGGATGACGATCTTCGTGAGTGTAACCAGTTGCAATTGATTCAACATCGATCGAAAGAAATTCTTCACTACGATCATTTAATTCTGTTAACATATTAAATGTTATTTTATGTTCATGCAAAGTTATGTAGAATTCTCTACTATTTATAGATATAAATTTTCGTATTTTAGTGTGAAAAAAAACAAATGATTTTTCGGAAGTATTACCGTAAAATAGATTTGAACCACTGTTTATTTCTCTTTTTTACTGTAAAAATATTAGACATTATTTTACCCACAACAGAAGAGTAATTATTTACTGAAGAACTGAAACAAAAACTTTTTTCCTATCGTGGTCATCTGAAATGAGTTTCACCTCTAAGAGAAAAAAAAACAAAACATTATTTATTTTTTGCAAAATGAAACAAATGATGATTAAATTTAATGGCATTTCGAGAAAATATGATGATTAAAAACGTTCTGTAATCCGTGAATGAAGAGCTCGGTGAGTTCTATTCATTATACAATAGGGATCCAATTCTTTAAATACTAAGACTAGAATTCTATCATGAATAAACGAAGTGAATAAGGATCACAAATATCATAAAGAAAATTTTTACAAAATCTAATTTATTTATTGTGATTCGACCTTTCGACAATTATCCCATCATCATTATCAAGAATTGACTTGGCATATTGGAAAAACAGCTAAATATACATTTGTTTATATGAGAGAAAATTAAAATGGGAACACAAGAATGATTTTTAAAATTTTCTTATATGGAAATATACGTATAACCATCGGACCAAGAATTTATACATATTGATATATGTGAACGAGTGACAGATATTTACCAAAAGTAACTTGAAAAAATCAATAACAATTGGATCAAAATTCTGAGTCATTACGATCAAAAATTGTACATAATATCTCATCCTACAGACTCACATCTTCTCTATTTAGGGATATGTCGAACTCAAATGTGCAGGTTCAACATTCGACTTCGCGTAAGTTCGATGCCAAATTATTGTCCTATTAAAAAAAAATTCCAGTACGGCACTGTTAGTGCGCTAGTGATATGTCATCGGTCACTGGCACTGATGCACACCAGTGCCCAGCAAACCCTGATACATTTATGTCAAAAAAGTGTCATACTGATAAAAATCAGTGTTGCACTGAAAGGCGACTATGATGTTTTGACCACAAAACGGGATATATGTAGGTTTGTAGAGGAAGATTTCCGCTATCTAGGTATCCGGAACTTTCGTCATAAAAAGGAACTTTCGTCATACACAAGAGTTTGGTATGAACTTTCGTCATAGGAGAATTCGATGACGAGAGTTCATTGGAACTTTCGTCATAAGAAATTTTTATGACGAAAGTTCATAGAAAATTCATAGGAATTTTTGTCATAAATTAATTAATTACTCCATATTATCAGTTAAGATACCATGTGGGATGTACCTACCTTATAGGTATATACCCATCTTATAGGTATATACCCATCTTATAGGTATATACCCATCTTATAGGTATATACCCATCTCATCAACTGACAGATAAGAACGAGAGACAGCAGGATACTTGTACAAATAGACATATATGAATGTAAGAGATAGGGTGGAGAAGAATTAGACAGTTAACAATAGTCATTTCTGTATTCTCGTCAACACTATAACTAAAGCAGACTGTTTTTTACTTGATCTGTACGGTGAATTTAATTGTTGAACTCTGCATTTGCATAGGTATACACCTGTCACAGAGGTGCCTGTCAGATACGGATATACCCGTGTTATAGGTATACACCTGCCACAGAGGTGACTGTCAGTTAGGGATTTAACTGTAGGGCTGCAAATTTTTATTGAAATTTAAATCAGCAGTCGTGCTAAATGGATCAGTGTGCAACAGTCAGTATGTGAAAGTGAATGAATTACAACACTTTAAACATTGTATTGCTGTGTGGGAGAACATTTTGTACTTTATTTCACAGTTATATCTTTTGGTAGTTTATAACCATAAAAAACTGTTTTCCGCTAAAGAAGACTGTGTTTTCAATGTAACGTGTTAATCGCCAATAATTCACAATCATACCTATAAGACGAGTATATACCTGTAAGACAGGTACATCTCACATGGTATCTTAACTGATAATATGGAGTAATTAATTAATTTATGACAAAAATTCCTATGAATTTTCTATGAACTTTCGTCATAAAAATTTCTTATGACAAAAGTTCCAATGAACTCTCGTCATCAAATTCTCGTATGACGAGAATGTGATGAAAACTGTGACGAAAGTACCCACGACTTTTTTGTGACGAGAGTTCCGGAATTCGCTATCTAGTGGTGTATATATCATCAAATTCTGTTGCGTATCGTGAGAGAAAATTAAAGGTAATCCCTCTTTTTTTAGACTCTTTTAGAAATTTTTTTTATTTTTGAGTTAAATGTTCTGCATTATAGAGTAAAGTGTCCTCTACAAAGTAAGACCGCTTCCAGCTTTCCAAGACCTTCCGTTGAGGAGAT